AGCCCACGAGATGGACCCGCAGGTCCTGAGGTTGCAGCGTTATACTGGGGACCTGATTCTGGGAGGCTTCTGCAGAATTCCAGGCTGCATGTCCAAGTCGAAGATGAGGGCTATCACCGACCAGGATCCAGAACCGATAAGTGAAACCATCATTGTAATCGGTCAACAGCAGGAGGTCCTCACTTAGCAGGTGGGTCAAACCTAAAAGTCAGAAAACAGAACAGGTCCGAGTAGCGCTGCAGAGAAAGGCTAGTATCGAATACACAAGAACTAGCAGTAGAGTAGATGAAATGGATTGTACTCACCAACCATGGCTCCCGCGCATGACTCGGGCTCATGGATATAGGCTGGAGGCGAAGTTCTATAAGACATAGAAACTAACCAAAACATCATAGGCCCAGCATAAGAGACTTCAATGCAAGCGCAGGAGGCTCCTGCCTAACCTCAGTCAGGAGGAAAGCTTTTCAGGGGAATTAAGGGGAGGAAGATGAGAGCAGATGTAATACTCTCAGAGGGAGGTGAGTAGATGGCTCAGGTTTTAATTTGTTTAATTCGTTGAGAACGCCTAGTCTGGATCACCTCCCTCAAATCTTGCCTGACACCCTTAGACCCACACCCCTTAAGAGCCCTACCCGCAGGCGGGGGAGGGGCACGAGTCGCAACACTAGTCTTCTGAGCCCGCCTTTGATCCTTAGATCGAGACGAGCCAGGACCCCTTTGATGTTCGGGCTCAGACCAAGACCTTTGTGGAATGCAGGATTTAAAGGCAGCCGAGCGCATCTTGGCCTCCTTAAACTTCTCGACCACCGTGTATGCCCTGCCATTCAAACGAGATGTATCCTGAAGGGGTTTGGACGGCATGGAGGGAGCCTTAAGAGAAGATGTCTCCCCCATAGAGAGATAGCAGGCCGGCGTCTTTTCAACAGGGGGCATCTTCTCATAACCATTCTCACGCATCCCCTCGATGTTGGCATAACTAGTATGCTGGAATCTGTGGATGCGGGACAAGAATGGATTTTTCCAAGCCTTCTCGATCTCCACATGGAGATCGGGAAGGAATGGAAGGCTCACCTGAGCTGGAGGGCTATGGTTAGAAAGAAAACGCTCGTCGAGGCGGCCTCGAGGCGTCACTCTCTTGGCCCGCTTCCACGGCAAGTCAAGTCTCACCGTGGCGCGATCCATAACCTCAAGCAGCTCATCATACGCGGGGCAAGATTATTGGGAGGACTCAGTCTCGACTTCTTCGTCCTCATCTGACATCTCCTGCTCATCCTGGCTTTGAGCGAGCAGAGCACTAGCCGCTGGATCAGACAATGTAAGAGAGATAGCATCATCATCCAGCAGCTCACTCTCGTCCGTGACTGATGAACGCGAAAGGGAAAGACCCTTTTTCACTCATCAGCCAGGTCCATCTGCGATTCCCACAAGCTCATTTTCCTCCGTGCCTCAGCAGCAGAGGGTCCAGAACCAAGAGGAGCCGATGTCCCTCTTTCCTCGAAAAGAGAGACAAACGAGAGCAGAGCTTTTTCATAGAAAAAAGCTCACAGTGCACGCAAGCTGCCCCTCGAGGACATTGCGCGCATGCTCTTCACCCAAACTAAAGACGCAAAGTTTGTGTGTGTCATTAGGTGTCAAATAACAAGGTCACGGATCCACACACTTCTTAAACGCCTTACTAGTGATCACCATGGTAAAGAAGAAGAATCGTTCTAACCGTAAATGCACGCTTCAAACAAACAGTCCTAGAAGACGAAGAAGAGGATGATGTGTTCTCCCGGCGCCTGCATGTGTGTGCATTCCTCTGCTTGTAAATAAGGCGCAGCGCATCTGGGTTCATCACACGCAAGTCATACTCTCGTGAACTTGCAGCGGAGACTGATATGGAAGAGAAGAAATGGTTGAATAAAGTTGTTATTTTTGTTTTCTTTGCACACAGAAAGTATTCTTGTAGCTTCATATCATTACAGTTGAACCACTGATGTCTCATGGACAATTTTAACGATGTCCTTACTGTCTTTCTAGGCCTTGAATGTGGTAGTTGCGTTGCTGTCTATGTATGATCAGAAATCACTTGGATTTCTTCAAAAATATCTTAATTTGTGTTACAAAGATGAATGAGTCTGTTATCTAACAGTAAACATTAACTATATTGTGGTTCATAAAATACACAAATAATCGGTTTTGGACTCACGGTGTGAGCATGGGCCCACTGATGTCAATAATAGGTCCCATTTTAGAGGTTTTGCCAAATCTCAACGGTAGTAAGTATAAATCACCAGTGAGAATCCACTAAATGTTTAGAAGATGTCTTTATTGTTTCATAGTTGTGACATAAAAGACTGTGAGAAGTAAGCAGAATTTAAGGTTGGACACCACTGAAGTTTTTTTGCACTGTGTGGGTGGAAATTTCTCACAGCACCTAACTGAGAGTTTGCCTACTGCTTTCCAAATACAGTATTAAACTATTTTATTATAAAATGTGAAAAAAACCTATAAACTATGCATTAAATATGATCACTGTGTTTCTATTATACTTTCTTGTGATGGTTCAATGTTTCTGTAGGTTAAAGTGTCTGAGTTGTGCATAAAAGCAGGAAGTAGCTCTTCACCTACAAGCTTCATGCTCTAAATGGCTGTTCTGTCATGCACAAGATGTTTGTCCACCCAGCGGAACAAACCACGTTTCTGAAGAAAACCGACCGCAGCAGCTTTCAGTTTGACTCAGAAGCTGCTATTAAGTAAGACTAAAGTTAGATGCAGACACTTTGTAACTTTTTGAATTTTGAGTATTCACGTGCACAACAATTGACTGAACTGGATAAATACAACCATTTTTGAAACACTCTAGTGATCACCATGGTAAAGAAGAAGAATCGTTCTAACCGTAAATGCACGCTTCAAACAAACAGTCCTAGAAGACGAAGAAGAGGATGATGTGTTCTCCCGGCGCCTGCATGTGTGTGCATTCCTCTGCTTGTAAATAAGGCGCAGCGCATCTGGGTTCATCACACGCAAGTCATACTCTCGTGAACTTGCAGCGGAGACTGATATGGAAGAGAAGAAATGGTTGAATAAAGTTGTTATTTTTGTTTTCTTTGCACACAGAAAGTATTCTTGTAGCTTCATATCATTACAGTTGAACCACTGATGTCTCATGGACAATTTTAACGATGTCCTTACTGTCTTTCTAGGCCTTGAATGTGGTAGTTGCGTTGCTGTCTATGTATGATCAGAAATCACTTGGATTTCTTCAAAAATATCTTAATTTGTGTTACAAAGATGAATGAGTCTGTTATCTAACAGTAAACATTAACTATATTGTGGTTCATAAAATACACAAATAATCGGTTTTGGACTCACGGTGTGAGCATGGGCCCACTGATGTCAATAATAGGTCCCATTTTAGAGGTTTTGCCAAATCTCAACGGTAGTAAGTATAAATCACCAGTGAGAATCCACTAAATGTTTAGAAGATGTCTTTATTGTTTCATAGTTGTGACATAAAAGACTGTGAGAAGTAAGCAGAATTTAAGGTTGGACACCACTGAAGTTTTTTTGCACTGTGTGGGTGGAAATTTCTCACAGCACCTAACTGAGAGTTTGCCTACTGCTTTCCAAATACAGTATTAAACTATTTTATTATAAAATGTGAAAAAAACCTATAAACTATGCATTAAATATGATCACTGTGTTTCTATTATACTTTCTTGTGATGGTTCAATGTTTCTGTAGGTTAAAGTGTCTGAGTTGTGCATAAAAGCAGGAAGTAGCTCTTCACCTACAAGCTTCATGCTCTAAATGGCTGTTCTGTCATGCACAAGATGTTTGTCCACCCAGCGGAACAAACCACGTTTCTGAAGAAAACCGACCGCAGCAGCTTTCAGTTTGACTCAGAAGCTGCTATTAAGTAAGACTAAAGTTAGATGCAGACACTTTGTAACTTTTTGAATTTTGAGTATTCACGTGCACAACAATTGACTGAACTGGATAAATACAACCATTTTTGAAACACTGGATTTGCCTATATATATACTGTGTGTGTGTGTATGTATATATATATATATATATATACACACACACACTCTAAAAAATGCTGGGTTAAATATGGACAAACCCAGCAATTTTAACAGTTGGGTTAAATGTTTAAGGGTCAAAACAACCCTAAAACCCCTATTTATTATATATATATAATATACATACACTCTAAAAAATGCAGGGTTAAATACAACTCAGCACTGGGTAAAATATGGACAAACCCAGTGATTGTATATACAGAAGACATTCAGAGCATGTGAACTGAGCGTCAAACTCTTTTGGGGGAGGATTCATCAGATTAACAGGTTGACAGTCTTCAGCAGACAGCAGCGGACATTAGATCAGGCTTTTCACTGAACCATTAAAGAAAATGCTTCACACACTTGTTTTGTTCTGCTTGTTCCATTTGTGCTGGTTGAGTCTGATGGGTAAGTTATAAAAGCATTTTTGCTGTGTATTTTCGTTCAGTTTCTTAAGATTTACTTACTTTGAATTCAGGTATCTGTTTTATTCAGAATTTTAATTAGAAATTTTCAGGACTTTTATTGTGACTGTAATTTTTTCTTGATCAAAAAGCCAAAACCACCACTGAACCACTTTCAAATTACAGGCGTCTTTTGTTACTTTAAATATTGTTTTTTTTCTTTTTTTTATTGCAAATGCAAATTATTGCCAGCAATATCTAAAAAAATAAAATAAATAAATAAAAAAATAAAAAAAAAATATATATATATACTCTCACGATAATCGTAAATAACTACAATATATTATGTAACTTCACATACTGATTATACTCTCTAAGTTTAAAATATATAAAGATAAAGTTATTTGTTAATAATTATCTGTCGTTTAACGTATCTCACCTTTCACTTTGCTATTATGTTGTTATTAAATTCATATTTAAACATTTCAGTCTACGGATTTCAGGCTTTAGAAACCATTAGGAGCTTTAATCTGTTTCTGTTTGCTCTTCAGGTGTGTTTGGTGCCGAAACAATGGTGTCAGTGATGGAGGGAGATTCTGTTACTCTAAACACTAATGTTACTGAAATACCTGAAAATGCCCACATACTGTGGAAATTTGGAGCTGAAAAATTTATGATAGCTAAAATCAAAAGAAAGAAACAAATCTCTGTATTTGATGTTCCTGAAGGGAGATTCAGAGACAGACTGAAGCTGGACAATCAAACTGGATCTCTGACCATCACAAACACCACAACTCAACATGCTGGACTCTATGAATTAGATATTACTGAAGTGAAAAAATCATCAAAAACATTCAATGTTTCTGTCTATGGTGAGTAGAGATTATTTGTCCAAACATGCACATATTCTTATTTGAACTATTTACATATTTAATCACTTTATATTTTGAGATGACAGACACACTCACTTACTGTCACACTAAACACTCAGCACAATGAATCAAAAATAAGACTGTTTCTGTTTATTCTCTCATGTTTCTCAGCTCATCTGCCTGTTCCAGTCATCATCAGGAACTCTTCACGATGTTCTTCATCATCATCATCACAGCAGAATTGTTCATTGGTGTGTTCAGTGGTGAATGTGGGTCATGTGACTCTCTCCTGGCACAAAGGAAACAGTTTATTGTCCAGCATTAGTGTGTCTGATCTCAGCATCAGTCTCTCTCTACCTCTGGAGGTGGAATATCAGGATAAAAACACCTACAGCTGTGTGCTCAACAATCCCATCAGCAACCAGACTCAACACAACATCAACATCACTCAACTCTGTCAACCATGTTTAGGTAAAGCAGCAGTTTTATGATATGATCTCAGTATTTTGTTGTAAATCAGACTGACACATTCACTTCTAGATTTATTCTTACAGCACTGGACACAAATTCTCCTTCATATCAAGACTCACCTCTAATAGTGCTGATCTCTGCTGCTGCTGCATCTCTGTTGATTGTAGTTATAATTGGGATCTTCTGCATCTACAGGAAATGTAGAAGACCCGATCAAGGCAAGGGATACCTACTGCTTTTTAACAAGTATTATAAAAATGCTCTAAACATTTTAATCAATTAATAGCCCTAGAAATCTTATGTTTGAATATTCAGCCTTCTGCTGCTGTTCAAATGAACATTTCTAGGAATGACCATGTAATTTGTTCAGCTTCAATGAAAAGTTAAAAAGTCAAGAATAAAGTTCTAATTATTGCATACTCTGCTAAGATCTATTTATGTATGGGTGAACCGTTATAATGCCAGATTCATAAATGCTAATCAATATCTTGTAATTTAACAATGGCATTACAAAATGCTTACATTTGTGCCTTAATATATGTTGTGAAGAAACAGATCTATTTGTGTTTTAATCTACTATTATTGTCCTTTAAACAGTTCAGCCTTGTGATGAAGAAATAAATTATGCCGAGACAACGTTCTACAAAAGAAAAACACGCAAATTGGTAAGAAACTTTAACCTTTGCATTTAGTCTCTGTAATTATTTTAGCAGTGAGTCAGATGTTTGCGTCTGTATAATGATCTGTCAAACACATTAAATCAGATCAGATATTTACAGGTCCCACTTTTTATTAGGTGTCTTTAAATACTATGTACTTAATAATAAAATAATGAATTGTTTCCTATTGTGGTATGTATTGGTATCTTGGTACCTATTGTGTTCATGTTGAATTGCAAAACACTTGTTCTGCTATTAAGATGAGATATGGATAAGGTTTGCTGGTCTGGTTAGGTTTAAGGAGTAGAGGTAGGGTCAACAGTTTAATTATAGATGTAACCACAGAAATTACTTATGGATGTAATTGCTGGATGTATTTTCAAATATAAGTACAATATGTAAAGTTATATATGCACACAATAAGTTCATTGTATGAAATGCTTAAAAGTAAGTACATAGTGGTTAAGGACACTTAATATGGCCCACTTTTGGTTAATATGACCAAAAGTGGGTCCTAATTACATTATGCCATAACATTATGTATTCAATGTGAAAACTTTACTAGCAACACTCTTAAATAACTGTAAATGCTTTAGTCTGTAAAGATTATATCAATAAAAAAGTAATAATAATTAAGCAAAATAAAATATTTAATTAATTCTACAAGACTAGAACGAGACCAAGTTTGTGTTGTCAGTTAACTATGCTAGCCCTGTCACATATTAGCATGCTAAACATGATTTTTCAAATGTAATATCCCTGGAAAAACACAAAATACAACATTTACTTTCAACATTTGCAGTCTCATGCTAATCATGCTTGGAACTACAGATCCACTGACTAGTTATGTTAGCAAAAATGATAGCCCTAGCACAAAACGATGAAGTTACCTTCCATTTTACAAATTTAAGTGAATTTGTAAAACATTGTGTTTGTTTTGAGCAGTCAACAGTGATTATTTTGGCAGAAAACAAGCCATCTGATAGGACCGGATGTTGTTACAGCAAAATCATGCATCAGATCTTATTTTTTTGGTATTACTTCAATATAGGGTATTAAATCTGATTGGTAGTTTACACAGTTGTCTGTTCAGAGTCACATGTCTGTTGTCGTTATTGCATTTACAAAATTGTCAGTTTTTCAGCTTACATCATGTTTATATTTTGCATAGTCACATGCCTGTGTAGTTCATGGTACAATGAAAAATGGTATCTTTTTGCAATAGCTTGTCACTGGGGCATAATTCTCAAAATGTCACCTTGGTATCTTATTTAGTTCATAGTGGTACCATTAGAGGTACGATAGGTACTGTATATAAAGGTATTATAACCCTAATATTACTTCATTTCAATATTTGATTTGAAAGAAAATGTGTTAACTTTTGAAAGGCAAACAATTTTAGCACTATGTTGCATGTTTTTATAGAAAGTTGAAGAGGAGGATAACGTGGACTATGTACCTGTCGTCATGAGATGATGATCAAACTTCAGTCTTTTTCTTCAGTCCCACATACACAAAGTTCACTGGTTTTTCTGCATCACGCATGCTGATTTGAGCTTCCGTTTACCATATTTTATGAGCTGTATGTATGTACAATTTTCAGTGTCGATATATGAATAAGCGTTAAATAAAGTATTTTTGTCATATAAAGTGATCATGTCTCTTCAGAAGACTTAGATTCTGTATAAATGATATGACTGTATATATTTCTTGAAGCTTGAAAATGTTCATTAAATCGACAAAAATGAGGATGAATGAAAGTCTTATGTGTTTGGAATGACATGAGGGTGAGTAAATGACTGAATTTTCTTTTTTTGGTCTAAAAACGAATTGAGGACATGTATATCTGCTCACCATAAATGTAAAATGTTCAACAAGTCAAAGTGAACCTCTTCATTCTGTGAAATGTGGTTTGGTAGACAAACATCTTCAGCATGAGAATGTGTCTGCTGCTGTATGTTTGTGTTTGATGTCTGTTCATGAGTTTGTGTCTGAGGTGTCAACACTGTGTCTGTCTATAGCATGTGGTTGTAGGGTGTTTTTCCATTTCTGCCCATGATTTTAACAGTTTGACACAATTCTCTTCTGTACACAAAGAGAGAGAGAGAGAGAGAGAGAGAGAGAGAGAGAGAGAGAGAGAGAAAAGATTCTCTCCAACAAAACATCATGTACTTGTGTTTGTGAAAGATAAACTTGATGTTCAAGGTCATTTGCATCTCACTATAAATCCATGATCTTATGAACTCATGCTGTGACCCTGTAGACAAACTCTGCTAGTTTCAAGAGTTCTAACAATAACTATTCTTGATCTCACAGATGTTTGTAACGATCATATCCTGTTTTTGTCTGTCAATGTCTGGGATTCGTTTTAAGAATAAATGCAATGTATGATTTGCTATTGTGACATTTATAGTACCATGCAGATGTTGACAGTTAATCATGCCTGAATTCAGCATTCAATAAATCATTAATCCACTAGTATTGACTTGCAACGCCATCCTTAACCCTCTATAGGACTAATTGTGAATTTACAGCTTTAAAATAATTGACTTTTGAATATATTACATATATTTAGGAGCAAAATCATTTTCCAAAATTTGTTTTCTTCATCTGACCTTTGAACTTTTTTTAGGGTTCCGTCATTTATAACTGACGTTGTCCCATTAGGGTAAATTATTATCTATGGCAAATTGTCTGAAACTTCACACACAATCAAATGCTTTTTCACTATCTGAAAAGACGTGAAAAGGTCTTAATATTTCAAAAAACATTAAAAATCTTTATGAACATTACATTTTTTTCTTGTGCTGCTATATTTGATTTGAAACTCGCGCGTGAAAATGTCTAAAACTTGACACAAATTTGGATGCAATTTGACTGCCTGAAAACCATGTCTTACTGTTTCAGAAGCATTAAAACAACTTCAACATTGTGTTTTATCTTGGAATTTCAAATCAATTATCGTAGCACAAGTGAAAGTCAACAAGACTCTTTTTTTTTTCAGTGTACCCCACACAACCCACACGTAAGTAGATGCTGACTTGTGCAGTCATCATTGGAGCATTGCTGTCTGTCAGTATAGTAATGCCAATAGACATTGGCATCTTTCCTAACCTCTGGTTGTTGTATGGATCACATCTTTTAAACTGGCATTTGGTTTAACTGTACAGCAGCATTTGTGTCCTTGTGTTGCCATAGTTTCTACAAGCGGAAACTGAGGGTAGTGTGGATATTACGTCATTGATAGGCGACAATGACCAGGGACGAGTCTATTTAAAATTGGAATTATGAATGACGATATCCCATAAAGGGTTAAGACAAGTTCACACTACAGGACTTTAAACGTCAGCAGATCGCTGTGCTGTTCAGACTACATGACTTGATTGTCTGTCTTGAAGTCGATGTGGTGTTCACACTACGTGACACTACGTAAATGATCCGCAACAGGGGGTGACACACTACACGAGCTGACAACAACTCTGTCACACAACAACTCTACACAATCCCCAAACCACGTTTTGTCACGAAAACACACACGAGAAGTTGAACGGGAATGACACGAATCAACAAGTGAAGCAGGAGTTGTTTATTTGAAAATGGACATCGGGAAGAAATTAGTGCTGCAAGCAGGGCCGCATTAAGACCTTACAGGGCCCCGGGGCTATGACTTACTGCAGGGCCCCCTATTACAAATATAATATATATTTTGATATTTTGTTATAATATATTTTTATCCTATCAAAATTATACTCCTAATTTTGATAGGATAAAAATCCTATTTAAAGCTATATATAAATTTTGATGCATTGAATTTTTATAATTCAATATTTCAAAAAATTAAATAAATAAAAATAAAAAATACTAGCCTAAGTAAAAACAAGCTTATACTTAAGACAACTAAACAGACACAAATTACAAAAAATAGACCTACTTGAAACACTTAAAGCACTGAATAAGAAATTATATTGTATAAAATAATTGACCAAATAAACTGAATAGTCTTCATTGTATACATTCAATATACATTCATTCTTATTTATTTTACAAAAGTGATTCGGTCAAGGACAGTGAGTGATTTTCTTTCTAATGTTTCATTAACATTATCGACAAATTTTAACAGCAGCTAAATTAGGCTGCTTTAGAGGAATAGCTCACCCAAAAATTAAAGGTCTGCTGTTGTTCTAAACCTGTATGAGTTTCCTTCTGCTGTTGAATGTAAAAGTATATGAAGAGTTCATTTGAAAACCGATAACTCCATTTTTAACAATTTTCAAAAATGATGTTTTTTCATTGTGCATTCCAATTATTCTCGATCAAACTGCAGTTGGGTTATTTTGATTAAGTTAAAAAATAACAAAAAAAATACTGCTAACTAACACAATAAAAGACTATACAAACATGATAACGTAATAACAAACATGATTTTTGAAAATTTGAATAAACTCAGTTATCTGTCTTTGCAAATAAACTCTTCATATATTTGGAACAATACTGGTAACCCAACAGTTGCTGGGCCCCCATGACTTCCATAGTACGAAAAACAAAATACACTACTGTAGTCAATGGGACCAGAAACTTTCTAGTTACGAACATTCTTCAAAATATCTTCTTTTATGTTGAGGAGAACAAAGAAATTCATACAGGTTTAGAACAACTTGTGGCTGAGTAAATTATGACTATTTTCATTTTTGGGTGAACTATCCCTTTAAAATCTCATCATATTAGGATCTCACATAGCCTACTACTACACTTGCTTTATAATTAACTATTAACGTTCATTTAAGACACAAATGACTGTGTTGACGAGGAGACATTTTGACACATAACTTTGCATTTGAACGTTTAAGCACAAGGCGCGAAAAATAACTCAAGTTTAGACTGGCGCTGTACGAGCAGATGCTGAAACCGCCAAAATTAATTCTGCCCCACTGCTTAATGTCCCTGAAAAGTTAAATTTGTTTTTAAACCACAATGCTTAAAATGCCTACATCATGCCATGCAAAACGATTGATAGGCTATATGGTTTATCTCTCAACCCATAAGCGAATATACTTTGTTCAAACACAAAAAGCAATATACATCCATCAAGTTGTTAACTTGTTAATCAAACTAACCTAAAATCTGTGGGGACGATAACGCTGTGATTTTATCTGCTCCATGTGCCCGGTCCACTTGCTGTTTCACAACTTCCACTCCATCATCAGCTTTAGTAAAATAACCTGATAGCT